AGGCCGACGGCGTCCTCTAACGCCCCCGCCGCCCCGCCGCCGCCGCTCCTGTCCTCACGGCAGCAGGTTCCTGCCCTCGACCCCGCGCACCCTGCTCCGCCGGGTCACTGCCCTCCGCCCTGTCGCCGCCTCTCCCGCTCTCTTTGTCCTGAAGGAAAGTACCTCAGAGCTGGCAGGTGAGCTTTGTGCTCCCGTCTCTGCCTTCCAGCCACCCCGTCGACACCGCCCGCTGGCTCAGCAAAGCGATGCTCCAAAACGGAAACGACACTTTTACCGAACATACATTTTTCAGCTTACAAAAAATGTGCACATCTTTCTTCGTTTACTCTTCCTGTAATCTATACAATTTAATATAAAGAAAAGGCCACTCCCCGCCCCATTTTTAAAAAGTGAGAATTAATATGTAGGCGATCTCCCATCAATTTTCCACGATTGTAAATGAAGTTAACCTCAGACTGTTAACTTTCTTTTCAGTTGGCCACATTAGAGAAGAGGTTTTCCTTTCTCTTCATTCCAAAAAGAGACAGCTACTGTGAGTAAAAAGATTAGCTGACTTGGGTGTTCCTCTGTGATCTACCATTGCAAACTTAACAGCTTTGTTGGTACTGCTCTGCTTTAGGTCGGTCGTCCATTTTTTAATCAGGAAATTATTACAAATTCATTTGAGTAAATTTTAAGGTAACAGATTTTATTTAAAATTCTTTTCCATTTTCTGCTTTTAGGAACATGTATTTCCCTTCCGAAAGGTAATTTTAGTAGTTGTTTTTATACAGCTTTTCTACCACTCCTAAATGAAAGCCAGGTCTTATTTTTAGGGCCTTGATTGGCAAATATACGAAATTACAATCTGCTAATGAACAAATACCTTTTTCAGGACAGTAATATAAGTGCAAGTTAACAAAATCACTCTGCAAATACACTGTATTTTTCATTAGTTATTAATTTGCAGACCTGCAATTGTTTTCCTTAATAGGGCTCAGGACAAACAAGATTGCCATGTTCTGTTCCTTGTTTTCTAAGCTCTGTTTCTCAAACATCCTCCTATTTTGGAATAAGCAAAATGTAACCTGAGTGTTATGATTTGTTTGGATTTAAGAAATGTAGGGAGGAGTTTCATTCTAACCAAATTCTTCCTGACACAACGGTTCACCCTGATTTACCAGTTTTGACTGCATTGTTAATCAGAGAAAAAAACTGCACTGTTCACCTGCATTTTTTTAACCAATCCATGTCCTAGTGACCAGGGAAAGTTGCTTAAGGAAGTTGGAATTGCTCAAAAGTGCTGATAAGAAAAAAAAAAAAAAAAACTCTCCTATATTCATACTTTGAAAGGAACACCTACCTGCTCAGCCCCGACGAAGAAAAAAGTCCAGTTAGATTGGGACCACCCTAACATCCATTGGAAAGTGCTTATTTTCTGCCAGTGTAGTAGTTTCACTTAAAAGCTACATGAGCCTTATGTGCATTGATCTGCTCTAGCCACAAATATTTTCCCACTTTTTCTCATCTATTGTGTCTCCAGTTATTGAACATCTGCCAGAGCTGTCATGATAACAATAGCTTAGATTTGTATAATGGTTTACAGTTTTCAAAGGAGATTATATATATATATATATATATATATATATATACACACACACACATATTCAAGCACCAACATATTCTGGGAATATGTTGAATAAAATATTGTCAGGTTCTATTTTTTAACTGAATAAAATATCAGTTTTTTTTTTTATTTAATTTTAAGAGATTTGGAAATTGAGGCATAGAGAGGGGAAGTCAGCAGATTTCAAGGCTAAGACAGTTGTTTGTACAAGACAGAAACCATTTTAAAACAATGTTTTAAATGCAAATAAGGGGATTTATTTAAAAGATGCTCATGGATCCCAATGGCCTGTCCTCATCTCTGCTTCTCTCTCTCTCTCTCACAAATCGGATCTCTTTGCTTGTGCAGTCAAAATGGCAGAATATGGCCACCCTGCAATTCCCAATTTGACAGTCACAGTTCTAGATGCATGCAGGGTTTAAATAGCTATTCTAAATCCAAGTTCAAAATTCCTGGGAGAAACCATATGATTGACACTGCTTGGCTTGTGTCAAATCGATTATTCTTGGCCAAGCTGGCTGGTATACTCCATATACACTGCCTGTGAATGAAAGGCAAATACCACGGGAGAGGAGACGGATATGGGGTTTGGAAAACAAGCTTAGAATTTCTACTTTTTACAATTTCGTAGGGCTGATTTAGAACCTAAGTTAGAGGTCACGAACACAAATGCACGTGGTGGGGGGGGCAGTTAAATACACAGATGCATGAAAGTGACAAATGGAGAAGGTTGCAACCGGGTAGAGCACAGACTCCATGCAAAGGAAGTTACTACTACTGAACTGCAGCTGACTGATGCTCTGTGGGACTTCAAGCCCAGGGTAACTTATCTTCTGATTTTCAAGTGATGTCAGAAATTTGTATTTTTGGGGCCGGCCTGGTGGCACACTGCTACAGTGCGCTGCTTGGGAGCACGGCGGCGCTCCCGCCGAGGGTTCGGATCCCACATACAGACCGGTTCCCGCGAGGTGCGGACGCGGCGTTGAGGGTTGCGATCCCGTTGCCGGTCCCGGTCCGGTGCGGGAGCGACACTGAGGGTTGCGATCCATTGCCGGACACGAAAAAAGACAAAAAAAAAAAAGAAATTTGTATTTTTTGTAGAATCTTTATTTCAATTGTGTGAAAAAACAAACAAGAAACATACTTACAGGTCAGATTTAACCTTCGGACTAGTAATTTAGGACTTCTCACCTAGCTAGATCTTCTGTCTGGTCAATTGTCAAATAATGACATTTAAAAATCACATCCTCCATAAAATCTTTATGCAATAGAAGGGAGTATGATGTGTATAACATTAATGTGAGCAGACACATGTTTGCGTACAGTGCATGTATGCATACAACTATAAAGAATCATTCATCCATCTTTTCTCTCCTCTGAAATGGAAATTTTTGATAGAAGAAAATCATATCTTCTTTACTTTGTGAGATAGTTATAGAGAACCGTATTATTTGCTGTAGGCTTTCATAGAGAAGAAACACTGCTATAGGATACAAAACTGCATAGAAGTTGTATGGCCATAAACAAAATTATTTAACCTTTCTGAGTTTCAATTTTCTCTCTTGTCAATACCAAAACCAATGTCTCATGGTTGTTTTGGAAATCAAGTGAGATACGACTTTATAAAGTCATGTGACATGTGTTAGGTGCTCAATGTATGTTAGACTGTTATATCTGTTAGTTAGAATTAAGTCTAGCACAGTACATTATAATTCATTAAAAACAGAGAAAATAAAGTTAGACTGAATTTCCAAACATCAAAAGCAACGATCCATGTTGATCTCTTATAGAGGTTCATAAAACAATATCACTGTTAACTGCTCTGTCTTATATAACATGTCCTTAGATTTATAAAACGTCAACTAAGAAGAATAACTGAGGATCAAGCATTAAGCAACACACCCTGACTGAAACGAACTTTTAATTCATGCATATAGTTATAACCCCCAACAACTCACATAACCCCCTGGCAAGACTGGTAAAACTTTTAACAAAATGGAACATATAACAAAAGATTCTTTCATTCTGGTCAGTCTCTGTGATGCTTTACTAAGTCACTGAGGAAACAGATCGAAGAATCTGGGTTAAAGATTAGTTCAGGCAAATGATATCTCTTTATTACTCTCTCAGGTGAAATGTAGACTGAAGTAATCTTAATAAATGGTATGTAATTTCTAATGAAAGAAACAGGGAACACTTCGGTTCCAAAGAATTGTTGATAATGATAAGGATGTATATTGGAATCAAAGCACAGGAAAGCACAAAGCAACCAGCTTTTTAATGTATTATTTATAGTTGGATTTTCACCCTGGGTTGAAGAAGTGCCTTAGCAACAGCATCTTGAATTTCTTTCTCATTATCTCTAACATGTCATGTGGGGTAGTATGGTTTAAATGGCTAATGGGCATATTTGCAAACCACTGTGAAAATATAGTGTGTTCTCTTTCTCTTTCCCTGTTTCTCTGTCTTTTCTAGTGAAGCTAATTAACACCTAAAAACCTCCTCTATCATTTAAATAGCATGTACAGAAGATACTCTTTCATGCTGAGTTCACAAAGGGGGACAAGCTTCTATGTCCTTTAAGTATTTTTGTACTCACAACAGAGGCAAATCCAGCTTTTGCAAATTAGGGCTGGAATTTGCCATCTGGTTGGAAGGTGGTGTGAGGAGAACGGTGAAGCTGAGCTTGCAGATCAAGCAGGGTGGTTTGTTTGTTTGTCTGTTTTGTTCTGTTGTGTTATATTTTTAAAAATAAATTTGAGAAAACCATTCATATCCAGTGATTGGGGGGGGGGGGGGGATGCTCAATAGATTGTGGGAAAGCTGAAGATCATTCACCTCCATTTTATACTACTCTTTGGAGATCTCTGGAACCATAGCCTCATGGTTGTGATCCAAAATGGGTAAACCTTTTACTAAGTACTGCTCCCTAACAAAGACTTTATAATAAAGCTTCATTGTGTCTATTCTGTTTGTTAGGAATAGGCTAGGTCATTGTGGTGAACTTTATTTAGGGATGTGCCAATGAAGGAGTTAATTCTTAAATTTTAAGTTAATAATGAGAACAGTAATACAGTGAATCCCAGAAAAAAGGATTGGTCAAAAGTCATTAAAATAATT